AGAAGGCGCGCCTAGGCGCACGCCTAGGCTCAATTAGGCGCTAGGCGGTGGATGATCGCCTTGACTTGGCCATAGGCGTTGTAAAAGGCGCTGATAGCGCTTAGTAGGTAGGAATAGCGCTTAGTTTGCGCCTAGTGGAGAGAAGGCGTGCCTGGGCGTTCCTGGACGAGCTTAGGCGGTTAAACCCAATATTCTTCGTTTTGTCCTAGAAAATTCGAAAATTGCCTCTTGCCCTAGAAAATCAGAAACACGGGAAGGGGATGACCATGCTATGTATGTATTCGTAGATGAGGATGAGGAATCATATTGTGCACCCTCGAGTACTGTTACAGATGCAATGGCGGGTGAACAGAGTGAGCTTCGCAGGAGTGCACGAGTGAGAGAGCTCCATGATGAAGAATTAGAGTCTGGAGAGGAGGAAGAGGAGGAGGATGGTGAGGAGATGGCTTTTGTGGATGATGAAGATGAAGTGGTGGCTGGACGGACCTACTTGGATGATGAAGAATGAACATTTTCCTATGAACTTATTGACTATTGTTTAGTATTTGGCAAAATACACTTGTATAGCCAAAACTTTCACGTTTGTGCCAATAATAGCCAAATTTGGAGAAATACCACTTATAGCCAGTTTTTAAATTTGTTGTATGACAAATATAGTCATTTCCGTTAGATACTTTAACGGGGTTATTAACACCGTCAACTTATTTGACGGTTTGCTGACAAGGCGCTAACTCAGCGGATACGTCAGCACCACATAAGCAAATAGTGACACGTCAGGGCCACATAAGCGAATAATAACACATCATATAATAAAAAATAAATTAAAAATCATCTACCATTATTGGGGAAAATAGTGACCAGACTCTCACTAATTGGGGGGAAAAGATAAAAATAAATCAATATTGCTCTTTTCTCTCCCACTGATCTGCTCACATGCACCATTGTTGATCTGCTCAGGGAACGATTTCTCAGCAACCAGCAATCGTTTCTCCTCTCGGAACAATATTCTCCCTCTGTCACGAACGAGTCGAAGAGAGCCAGGAATAGATTATTGTTCATTACAGTGGCGGAGGACGAGTCGGAGATGCGCTTGCCCCGATTCGAGATGAGGCGAATTCTTGTTATGGCCAAATCCTTCCTTCTGGGTGTTGGAACTTGACCCAAATCGACGAGATTCGACGATGCACAACCTGGAAGGCGACAGAGCAGAAGCTGGGCGCGAGAAGACTGTCAAGATCTGCGTTTGCGAGCAGACTGTCAACCCGGAAGACAGATTCTCTGGATTCCCATATGAGAGCGGGAGCGACAAGCAGCGAAACGCATGTCGTTGGTGCGGAATCGGAGTGATGGCCGAAACCCATGCCCGCTTAATATGGATCCGAGTTTGGTGAAGAGATGGTGGTGGTCTAAAATCTCTGGTAAGTTCCGCTAGATCTACAGCCCGCCCGCCTCTCCCTCTTCTTCCCTACTTCTAGCTTCTACGATTGGATCAAGTGATCCTTGAGGAGCTCGTCGTCGCCTTTATGGAATAGCATCTGTCTCACGACGGGGACTATGGAGTTCTTGTCGGAGAAGAGGGTATTGCGGCTGGGCAACCCCGAGCTAGAGCAAAGAGGGAAGCAGCGTCGGGGCCGTGGTGGGGGAGTCGGCGGCGGTGGTGGTTTGGGAAATTAGGGATGTGTGGCGGACGACAGAGAAGCGAAGAGAGAGAAGGGGAAAGTGGAAAGGAGGATGGGTGGGGAATTTTTCGTTTCTTTTAAATTTTAATTTTTACTGTTATTTTTTAAAATTAATCCAGCACGGAATTGATAATAGAGAAACTTGCCAACTCAGCTTTTTCGTTTGTTCAGTCAGCTTATTAACTAACACCGTTAAAGAATTGGATGGAAGTGGCTATAAGTGGTATTTCGTCAAAATTGGCTATTATTGGCAAAAGCGCGAAAGTTTTGGCTATACAAGTGTATTGTGCCTTAGTATTTCGACATTTTATGAACTTGTGATTCTAGGAAGTGGTCACTATTTGCTTGTTATTTGTTATGTTAAGTGTTTACTGTTAAGAACTAGGCATTGCTAGTTTTATATGCACTTGGATTATATGAATTATTCCAGAAAACAGGAAATATTTGAGAACTTTTTCCATTTATGCTTTGAACGCCTAGGCGCGCCTAGGCTACTCCTAATCATGCAAGGCGCAAATCAGGAGCCGAGCGCCTGTCTTACGCCTAGCGCCTTTTAAAACCTTGTAAAAATTACACTGCATCAGTCCCGTCACGACACTAGAGAATTCCCGAAAATTCCACCAATAGAACTTACATCAATGTCTTACAACAACAACAACAACAACCACATAGGTTGTGATTACGAAATCACCAATATGTTTGATTAATTACTTAGGATGGTTTAGATGGATTAATTGTTAATGTAATATATATAGTCAAACAATTTATTTTTTAGTGGAAATTTGGTATGTGGTTTCTAAAATATCTTGTTTGGCTGAACCATTTACATGTGGTATTTGACAATAACGTAAGGGTAAAATGAGTTATTTCCAAATACCAAGGGGAATAGGAATTATTTCAACATCCAAATTGATTGTCTCTCAATCAATCTGCTCCAAACATGTGTAGTTTGAGAATTTCTTATAATACTATATTAATTTGATATTTTTTATTACAACAGGTAGGCTTGGAATTTTTTTTTTTTTCAAATTTTGGACTGTATTGCATGGCCATGAGACTGTACCGTATCGTCGGTTCAATTACGAAATACCAGTATCAGAGGCTAAACCGGTATGCGGTATTTAACGGTATAATGGTTGAGCTACGGCTAAACCACGATTTTATCATAAAATATCATACCACTGACTTTTCCGATATGATATCCGGTACGGTTTCATGGACCATGCTATATTAGGATATTAACACATGTATTCAACACCGCCAAGTTTGGGGGTGCATAACAAGATCTGGACCCATGGGCCGTTTACTTGCGATTCCATTTCTGTTAGCTGCCACAACAAAAAACAAAACTAAAATGAAAACGAAGTTGTCGTTTTCTGAGAAACAAAACCTGAAGAAACCTTGTTTAGCTGAGACTTTTTGTAAGTTCAGAAACTGAATCTTAAAAACGAAAACCTGTTTAGTTACTTCATTACTGTTTTCCGATAATTGATTATCATAATTTTGTTCATTGAGTATCATACAACCCTAATTATGATCAAAAATTTTAATTCGAATTATATAGTTTTTAAACTACAAATAAACAAAATACAAAGCATCACAACAATTCGCAATTGCTTGTGCTTCAATCCGTCCATGTTCATCCCCCTATATCACCACAATCCATACCTGTCACCATTATTGAGTTCCACAGACATCATTAATCCATAATTTAGCCAAACAAAAAAAAAACAATTAAAAAACCCTTGACCTTTTGGCTTTTGGTTCCAGGTAAACAAGAAGGTAAAGTGGCCCTCTCTCGATGATGGGGCCGGAGTTGGTTGGTCGTTTCCCTGCAGCATGCAAGAATCTTCCATCCCCATAAACAAATCGGTTGATGATGGCAGCGCGGGGCTGGCGAGGAAGAAAGATGATGGCGTCGCGGGAATGAGAGGAAGATGAGGGGTGGTGGTCTGGGCCGATGACAGCGGCGCGGGAGGGGTGGTGCCGTGGTGGTCTCGATCGTCTCTTCGCCTCATGAAACTACGCATAGAAGGGATGGAAATCGACGTTGTTCGAGTTTCCAAGAAGAGGGAAGAAGCTTGGCGTCGGCTGGAAGAGGGAAGAGGCTCAGCGCCGGATGAAAGCTTGGTCGACGACTGGAGATTCGCACGGAGAAAGATTGAAGGGAGAGGAAAGTGGAGGGAGGTGAGAAGGCGAAACGACGTCGGATTCCGCTAGCGGAAGTGTGGAACAAAAGAGAAAAAGAATTGCAGCTGGTGGGATTCGAACGTGGGTGTTCATTTAAGCATAGTGTCGTTTTTCCGTTATGAAACGGGCACAAACTCGTCCCACATAATTCAGGAAACTGGATATTATAGTTTTCTCCCAGCTAGCTCATTTGTGTAAAATGTTCTTCCAACGAAAACGAAATTACAAGTGAACACATTTTTTTACAATTTAATTCCAGATTTTCATTGACACAACAAAAAACAGAAAACAAAATGGGAAGTGAACGGGACTCAAGTGGGGTCAAATTTAAGGGATGAGAATGAATGGTTTTTACTTTCCCTAGTCCCTACTTTCTTCATCAGTTTTATATTCTTTGTTCTAAGTTAGATTTCAAAAACAAAATTACACAGATGAAACGAGTTTGTTGCGATTTACAAAATTATATTCCAAATATATTTCGAGGGAGAAAAGTTTCATACCACCTATATCACTCGTTACCACCCTGGTATAACCTTAGTTTTTAACTCAAAATTTTTTAAATTTTTTGTCAAAAAGAATGAGTTATTCGTCATCTATTACAATTACAAATTCCTTGGGAAAAAAATTTCAATATAAAAAGTGCCACCTTATACAACCCTAGCTCAGAGTAGTAATTAGTTGTATATGTTGAAGAAATGTGGTAAATGACAATGGATACACTTTCATACCATGTGTTATAATCTTATGTACATACATACCAAGTAGTCCCACATGGTATGGACTGGTAATAAAAGTTTCAATTTTTTTGGGTTTAGAATATATCAAAGTGGATGTTATTTGTTATTTTGAAGATCCCAATTCATCTGATTATTATGTACAATTCTTTTAATTTCGACTTAGAACAAAAGAGATATAGTCCAATAAAATTTATTGAGAGAAAAATTAGTAGTCTTCCATATATGATAATCATGATTTGCACCAATGAGTTATGTATAGGAACCACTCTCAACTTTGGTTAATCAGATCTGCGTAAGGGAGCCAACTTTGAGTTATGGATCTAGGTTCTGAATAACTATAAGAAATTGGGTGGACTTGGAAACGAGACAGCAAGTGAAATCTGACCAATAACCAGGGATCAATCTTCTGTCACATTCACAATTACGACAACAGGGATCAACAACTGCAACAACACCGAATCACACAAGCTTAACAAAGAGACAGATAAATGCAGTATGATCAAACAAAACAGACTGGTATTGTTCAAGTTGTCACGCTAAAATAGAGTTTCTGGAAATTATTACAGTAGGTATCTTGCCAAGGAACAAACAATTCTACAGCTTTTGCTTCATAGTGAGGGGTAGAAGAAAGAAAGTCCCCGCACCAAACCAATGAATTTTCACCACTTCTTCACAAGGGTTCTTTTCCTTCTAATGTATAAAAGTTGTTTCCATTTTCATCTTTAAGCGACTATTCTGTAAGCAAAGAAAGGGAAGGGTAACCTTGAGATCCTAAACAAAGCCAAAAATTTCCTACTGGACTCTACAAATAATGCAATCATCGCCCTTCATATTCAAACAGGTAAGTGGAGGCCTCGGCTTCAACTTGTAACACAATCTGCATAATACGGGTGGCTCTCATTTATGTACCTTTTCCAAAGAGGCTTATACCTGCCAATACCCAGTCTCAACCACGGCTTCATGTTCCCATTGAAATGAATCACTGCAGCACTCTCAATCAGTCGGTCATCAATGTTCATATCATAACCTAATCCTAACACATGCCACCTTCGATCAAGTGGCTCGGTCAGACCATAAAATGCCAGCAGGGCAGGAGGAAGTGTGCCCAGCTTCCAAAGTGTACGGTCAGCATTTTGCTCCTGCCAAAAGTGATACCGCGCAGTGATGTTCGCTTTCCTCCATGCAATCAAATCAAAAACATTCATCCCGAAAGCCCATCCACATGCCTGGGGGTCAAACTTCGAGCTGATAATAGGGTTTGAGAAGTTTAGATACTTATAGTACCGATGAAACGACTCCAGACAAGTTTCCACTGCTCCATTAACATTTCCATGTAAATCCAGAGAGAAGAGCTGAGTCAGATCCTTCTGGACAACCACATCATCATCCAAGAAAACTATCTTCTCCAGCTGGGGATAAATCTCAGGTATGTAAAACCTGAGATGATTTAGCAAAAACAAGTACTTGGAGTTTCTTAGTTTTGGCTCGACGCTAACATCTTCATAATAACCACCAAAGTAGAACGCTCGTGAGTCTTTATCCAGCAGCTGTTTCACCACGGGAGCGTAAGAGACATTCAACCAACTGAACTCTTCTATGTTCTGTACCTCCACAGTGGCCCCTCTGAAGTCATTGGTCAGGAACCAAGCCTGCATTGCTCCAAAGCTGACCCCATTTGTCACTATGTGGAACACGAGCTGCTTTGAGTGATCGGCGTTGGAGATTGTGGAGTTGACCACCACTGATGTGGCCAGTACATTGTCTGAGAATATGCAGAAGTGGTAGAGGTTGTTGTCTACAACCCTAGGTGAGTTCATATTCTCCTCTGCAAGAGCTTGGAGGGGCAGCTTCGAAAGCCAGTCGACTGTGAGCTTTAGTTTCAGGCAGTGGAGGCTTTTGGGGAGAGCTTCAGCCACCAGCTGACCAAACACTGTGCTCTGCACGGTGGCTGCATTTGCACGTTCTTCGAGTGCTTGAATATGGGACTTCATCGTCATTATAGTGGTTGCAATGTCATAATGGGAACCTTGAGCCTTGAATATTAGATATGAGAGACTGCTAATCACTGGTTCTGCTTCTTCTGCTGTTATGGGCTCCCCTCTCATGGCAGCTTTTGAGAGCAGAAGTTGGCAACTCCGGATCCTTTTGCTCAACTCCCAAGCAAGGTAAAGATTGTTGTGCTCTTTTGCAATGATGACATAAGCCTTGGCGAGCGTCATTTGCTCGGATAATTGCCTTGAGAATGAGCTAGGGCTTAGTATTTCTTTGGTGAAGTTCAAACCCTCATGATTAACCAGATCAGCCCGTGACTTTCTCTCCTGTTGAATAGAAGTCAATGAATCATGATCTCAAAACCTCGTACAAAAATAAAAATACATAGAACTTATATAGTATTTTATATGTCAAGTTAGTTGTGCTTGTATGCTAATACTATCTTCTGATGAGCTTCTCAATATCTCATCAAAACAACCACCATTGAAGGTTTCCAAGCATAATCTTGCACATAACTGACACACATGTAAAATTTTTAGTTACTGCACAACGCAACACTGAACATTCTTCACGAATAATTAAGGGTCAACGAACAGTAGCTAACTCAAATCAGATTCTTTGAAGTCATAAAGGCACAAGCCTCATCATGCTTAGGAGGCAAACTAAAGACATGACCAACATCAACAAAGAATTGCTATACATCTCTTGACACTGGGTGATAATAAACAATTTGAAGTCATTCCGTCAGGGAAAAAGAAAAAAAAACAACCTAAAGTCATAACCAAGTGTTCATGTCCCAATGCTCTCCGTATAGTAATACTTGTATTGGTTACTGTTCAATACAAGATTTATAGCTACAAAGATTAAAGAAGTATAAGAGTGAAATTCAACAAAAGAGTTTTGGGACTTCACAGGAAATGGGATTGATTGAGCATACAAAACACAAGAACCATCAAAGCTAGCCAACCAGCAGCCATATCAGATATACTACTTCCATCGAAAAGGTGGCACACACATGAGTCTAGTAAGAAATGTAATGGTACGGATGACAATCATGAGTTAATGAAGAAAGATACCGTAGAACCAGTTATCTGAACTTTTCTAAGTTGTGCGACAACAAATGCTAATGCAAGAATTCATCTGTACTGCTGAGCCTATGATCATGATAATATAACTAACAGTTATTTACAATAAAATCACCAACTTGAACCCGAATAAGAGTATTTATTGAATTCCAAATGAGTATTGTATCGAAAAGGTTTCGGGCCTAGATTTATTACAGGTGGTTGAACTCAGGGTTCTGACTAATTAATTCACCAATATATGTACACTGTTGAACAAGGATACACAGAATGTTAGGTGAAGGAACGTGTTGAGCAAACAAAAGAAAGTTACATTTCATCATCAGATACTTTTTGCTTTTCATGTGACTCGCAACTATCCAAACTCTACTAGGCCAACAACCAGCCAGCACCCTAAGCGTGAACAATCATTAACATGCATTCGGACCAGTTGAACTTGCACATAAGCAAATCAACAGAATAAAGATCTCACAGACATGTACATCGCAAGACACTCAACAACTCAAGATTCCAGGTCGCTCACAGTACTAGGATCAAACCAACTTAACACCGATTTTAAAAACCAGAATCGTGTACAAGGCTACTGAATGAAGTTCTCATAGAAATGCCAACAACTTCCTATTGATCGAGTGGATTTATCTCACTAAATTCTTCAAAACAAAGACGAATCGTAACTCAATTCGACAAGAAGGACGTCATATTGCATCGACTTACCGTCATGAGCTGCTCGACCCGATCCTCATGCTGGTTATGGTGAAACACAAACAACACCAATCCTGCAATCAAGAACATGCCAAGAAGCACCCAGATCCACTGCGAATACCTCCTCCTAACCGGGCGCCGGTACTCGGCAGCCCGCCTCCGCATCTTTTCCCGATCCTTTCTCCACAATTCACAGCCAGATAACCCAGATTTGAAATCCGACCATCACCGTAATTCTCTAGATTACGATCAAGTAAACAAGCGAGAGACTGTCACTGTGAGCTATGACATGAACGACCGACACAATGTCCTCCCCCTCCACCGCCAAAGAATCAACGAATCGAGCGGAAAGGAATAGCAAGATGGAAATTTTATTCTGTTGGGTTAGAAGGGTTGTTGTAGAACAGAAGAATTAAACCCACAGATGAAAGGGGTCTTTTGAGCTTTGAATATGCGCTGCTGCGTGCTCAGGACTCAGGAGTCAGGAGACCTTTCGTCTCTGCGCAAATGGAGTAGTGCTCCAGTCGTTTCTTTTTCTTTAACAAGCTTTAAATCCAGCCCCAATAAGTTCCTGTTATTTTTTTTTTTTGTTTATGGTAATTAATTATAGAAATATCAAATTTTTAACTTATTCTAATTATAAAATTTAGGCAAAATACACTTGTATAGTTATAACTTTCACATTTGTGACAAATATAACCATAACTATTCGAAAACACAAAATAGTCAATTTCGTCCATTTTGTTAACGACGTTAGTTGATGGAACGGAAAATGCTGAGTTGACAATTGATTTACCCCACCAACCGACGTGAATTGGAAAAAATAATAATAATAATTGACAAATGCAATAATCCCCACCACCACCGCTCTCCTCTTTCCCTTTATCGCTCAACCTTCCTCCATTCATTCCCCTCTAAAATCGCAGAAGTTATTCTGCTAACGGCTCAAACTGTTAGCAGATACTAACAGGGCAGGATTAAGGGCCACGTCGGCCCATGTTTCATCCAACGGAGGGGAAGGCGGCTTGGTAGTGGCTCACTTAAGTGAGCTGTAGGTGGGCCAACGGGGAGAAGCCGGCCCAGCATGTGGCGGCGGCGGATCCGAGCAAGTGGGCTGGCAAGCTGGTGGGCCCGGCTTGAGTTTGGGCGGGAGAATGGATAGGAGTGGAAAGAGAACCAAATTTGATGGGCCCATGTTATATTTATGTATGTTTGTTTGTGTGGATATTTATTTGTTCTCAGTGGATATTAATTTCTGTTATGTTGATAGTGCTTTGCATCATTGTTGAAATTTTGGGCCGTATTAATGTTTAACGGCGGCCCAAAATCACCCAACCACCATAAACTGATTAAACCAATTTAGAGAATTAGTTTTAGGGTTTAGAGTTCTCGTTTTCAATTTGTGAAAGATTGGAATATTGTGTCTTACATCAAATTAAACACACTAGCAAGTCCTACACACTATCAAGTCCTAACACGTAAGGCTTGCAACCTTAGTTATGGCTGCCCGCCGAAGGCCCATTAAATAATAATAGTTTTTATTGATGAGCGGTTTATTTTTTAGGGTTGATTTTTTAGGTTTGGTTTATGGTTTACGGTATAGAGGTTAGAGTTAAGGTTTCAACATAAGGGTTTGGGTTCTCTTTAGGGTTTAAGATTTTGTCTGGTCAGTATGAATATCTATTCTTTCCTAATTATATTGTTTTTAGAGTTTATTTAGTAGTGTTGATCTTAGTTCATGTGTTTGGATATTTTTGTGGAACCTTTGAATATTCTCAGCTTGGGAAAACAATAATATTTTATTTTTTTAGCGTTTAGTGATTAGGGTGATAGAGTTTAAAGTTTAGGGTTTAGGGTTAGGGTACAAATAATAGATATTAGTTTGTGTGTTGTGGATACACTTCTTTCCTAGTTGTAATACTTGTTTCTGACATACTAATATTTATTCAAAATATTTTGATTTTTTCCGGGTTGTGTGAATATTTATTTGCACCTGATGAAATATTCTCTTAGTTCATGTGTTTGGATATTTGTGTACAACCTTTGAATATTCTCAGCTTGGGAAAACAATAATAGTTTTATTTTTTTAGTGTTTTATTGATTAGGGTGATAGAGTTTAAATTTTAGGGTTTAGGGTTAGAGTACAAATAGTAGATATTAGTTTGTGTGTTGTGGATACTTGTCTTTCCTAGTTGTAATACTTGTTTCTGACATAATGATATTTATTCAAAATATTTTGATTTTTCTCCGGGTTGTGTGGATATTTATTTGAACGTGATGAAATATTCCCTTAGTTCATGTGTTTGGATATTTTTGTGGAACCTTTGAATATTCTCAGCTTGGGAAAACAATCATAGTTTTATTTTTTTTAGTGTTTAGTGATTAGGGTGATAGAGTTTAAAGTTTAGGGTTTAGGGTTTAGGGTTAGGGTACAAATAGTAGATATTAGTTTGTGTGTTGTGGATACTTGTCTTTCCTAGTAGTAATACTTGTTTCTGACATGCTGATATTTATTTAAAATATTTTGATTTTTTTCTGAGTTGTGTGGATATTTATTTGAACCTGATGAAATATTCCCTTAGTTCATGTGTTTGGATATATTTGTGTGGAATCTTTGAATATTCTCAGCTTGGGAAAACAATAATAGTTTTATTTTTTTAGTGTTTTATTGATTAGGGTGATAGAGTTTAAAGTTTAGGGTTTAGGTTTTAGGATTTAGGGTTAGGGTACAAATAGTAGATATTTGTTTGTGTGTTGTGGATATGTTTTGAAAAGATTTTAATACTTTTTACTAAGGAACTGATAGTTATTTTAAAAAATTTGTCTGGGTTGTCTGGATATTTGTCTGGGTTGTCAGGATATTTGTCTGGGTTGTCTGGATATTTGTCTGTGTTGTCTGGATATTTAATTGAATCTGAGCAGCATGGTTTCAGATTGTTTTCCCCGTAGTGAAACAACTGAAATGACAGGTACACCACGGATTCAACACAAAATACTCTACCACTAACTTTTCGGTACTGTTTTATCGTTCTTGGTCACACATACAAATCCAAGTTCCCCGTGAAAGTGGAAACCATTGCTTAATTACTAATTACTAGGATGAGTTCGTACTACATCACACATGCAAATCCAAATGAAATTCACAAACTGCCTTGCTCCATTCCATCGACGATAGCACAGCATTCTCCGGGGTGATCTTACGGGGTAGTCAAAATTCCAACCGGTATTGTTAATGGTACCTACAACCGGCCACAAGTTTCAAGTCAAAGGAGGATATATAGTAACATAGAACAGAAAAAGGAATCAGCAAGTAGGTTGCAGAATGTTCAAGGCGAAACATTGGATTGAATAATTTCACATTCAACAAGCATAGTTCTAACTAAGTGGAAAGCAATCAAATGCAGAATTAGTATATTCTACAAACAATGCAGAGTATGGATCAGATTATCAATGCATATGATCTAGTCGAGTTGAACCTACTTACCCCACTTTGCTAATTATCCATGTTTGGCGAAACTAAGGTCTCCATATAGATCACAGGAGTACCATCGCGATCGGACAAGCCTCTCGATGCAGGAAACCTTATAGTGTTGTTCTTGGAATTGTAAATGAACAAATCTTCACCGCTGTCTGAAATGTAAAGTCGAGTGTATAACATTGCATCGACCACAGCCTGATCAACACTAAACAACTTAGTCCAAGCATCTGTCACCCTAGGCTCTTTCATCACCCATACCTCACACGAACGGAAACCATCAAATTGCACAACACAAAGACGATCAACAAATGATTCTATGTCCCAACGAGTACCAGCGCCATGGAATTCAGGTAGTTTCACCTTGTTATATTTTTCTGTTGCAAGATCAAGTGAGACTAGGGTGTCCCTCTGGTTATTCCCTTCACCCTCGGAACTTGACACTCGATAGTAAAGACGGCCAGCAAAAAACTTTGCATCCGCCTCCGTATCTGATGGAACCCCATAATTACAATTCTCGATTCTCCTCCATGACGAAGTTTTCAGAGCAAAGACTTGAACTTGAGTTTCAGCTGGATAGGAAATCACTACTACCACTTTGTAATCATCAAGATGACTATCATAACCAAATCCAAAATACGTGTCAGACATTTGCACCTGTTCCTCTGACATATCATAGGGGAAAGCAGGCAATGTCCTCATAACTGTGGAAGATGGGTTCCATACCACCACCTGGTTGTAACGCCAGAGAAAAGAGCAAAGCAACCCATCGCATGACCCAACAACTTGATCCTCAAATTGACTGAATCCTTCAAACAAACCCCCAAGCTCGATGGGGTCGATCCGGGGGCCATTGTATAAAGACTTCACTGACCACGAGTGCAAACCCCAATCAGCAACAGGAGGACTCCCTTCGAGGGGTTGGATTACGCGCTCGATGAAGTTGAAAGAACTCCTGAACAGCCTATCAACGCAATTCGGCTTGACATCCGACAACTCTTTCATACTTCTCAGATGTTCTTTCACAAAATCGGGACTGGAAATTAAGGTTTTGAACCATTTGGAGACGCACCTGAACCGGAGGAGCGAAGCCACAGGTAGCCAAATAAAAATCTTGACGATGAGATCCGGATGAAGCACAAGAAAAGGCCACCGGCGCCGCGCCTGCTTTACCCTCGCCGCCGTGGTGTTTTCAACCGAAGGAGTCTCCACCATTTCGATCGGGCAAAGGAAACGCAACATTTTTTTTTTTACAATGGAAACGACGCAAATGGAACCGCTATGAGCGGTTTATTTTACTGCTGGCTAGTTCTAGGTTTCTAGCTGGGCTGACTGGAATCGGGCTTTGAAAGAAATTGCTCGACCCAATAGTAAATATTAGTTTGTGTGTTGTGGATATTTATTGAAAAGAGTTAAATACTTTTTACTAAGGAACTGATAGTTATTTTGAATAATTTGATATTTGTCTGGGTTGTCTGGATATTTAATTGAATCTGAGGAAATATTAACTTAGTTCATGTGTTTGGATATTTGTGTGGAACCTTAAAATATTCTCGGATTGGGCACATCTTGATAGTTTTATTGTTTTAGTGTTTAGTGATTAGGGTGATAGAGTTTAAAGTTTAGGGTTTAGGGTCAGGGTACAAATAGTGGATATTAGTTTGTGTGTTATGGATACTTGTCTTTCCTAGTTGTAATACTTTTTACTAACATAGTGATATTCATTCAAAATATTTTGATTGTTTTCCGGGTTGTGTGGATATTTTGGCATAAGTTCCAAAAATCATCTTGCTTATCTTTTCTACTACGTCGACAGCGAGGCCGAGTTTGATGAGGGTTTAGAGTTCTCGTTTTCAATTTGTGAAAGATTGGAATATTGTGTCTTACATCATTAAATAATAATAGTTTTTATTGTTTATAGTTTGTTTTTTAGGGTTGATGGTTTAGGTTTGGTTTATGGTTTACGGTTTACGGTATAGAGGTTAGGGTTAAGGTTTCAACATAAGGGTTTGGGTTCTCTTTAGGGTTTAAGATTTAGTCTGGTCAGTATGAATATCTATTCTTTCCTAATTATATTGTTTTTAGAGTTTATTTAGTAGTGTTCATTGTTTAGGGTTTAGGGTTTAGGGTTTAGAGTTTAGGGTGTGTGGATATTTATTTGAACCTGATGAAATATTCCCTTAGTTCATGTGTTTGGATATTTTTGTGGAACCTTTGAATATTCTCAGCTTTGGAAAACAACAATTGTTTTATTTTTTTAGTGTTTAGTGATTAGGGTGATAGACTTTAAAGTTTAGGGTTTAGGGTTTAGGGTACAAATAGTAGATATTAGTTTGTGTGTTGTAGATACTTGTCTTTCCTAGTTGTAATACTTGTTTCTGACATACTGATATTTATTCAAAATATTATGATTTTTTTCCGGGTTGTGTGGATATTTATTTGAACCTGATGAAATATTCCCTTAGTTCATGTGTTTGGATATTTTTGTGGAACCTTTGAATATTCTCAGCTTTGGAAAACAACAATTGTTTTATTTTTTTAGTGTTTAGTGATTAGGGTGATAGAGTTTAAAGTTTAGGGTTTAGGGTTTAGGGTACAAATAGTAGATATATTTTCAGCTTTGGAAAACAACAATTGTTTTATTTTTTTAGTGTTTAGTGATTAGGGTGATATGGTTTAAAGTTTAGGGTTTAGGGTACAAATAGTAGATATTAGTTTGTGTGTTGTGGATACTTGTCTTTCCTAGTTGTAATACTTGTTTCTGACATACTGATATTTATTCAAAATATTATGATTTTTTTCCGGGTTGTGTGGATATTTATTTGAACCTGATGAAATATTCCCTTAGTTCATGTGTTTGGATATCACTTTGGGTCATATGATATACTTTTGTTGAAGGAAAGATATTTTTAATCCATCCTTGATAAACTAATAAAGCGAGCAATTTAATCAACATAGTTAGTGTCTACTTTTGTACAAATGTTACCAAAATAACACACTCAGCTTATAATAATAAAGCGAGTGATCAAGATAGAGTTAGTGTCTCCTTTTCTCCAAAACTTCCCAAAATAACCCAATCACCTTAATACCTAAACATCAACATATGTCCCATGAAACATAAGGAGGTAAGTTTCATTTAATCTTCCCTTTCTCCTTATATGCTGCCCACTGCTTTGCATGCTCAAGTACGACATTCCTTACTTTGTTGTATTTCCATTGAAGGAGACTGGCTGCAATAGATGCTCGCTGGTGCTCCACGTGCTCATCCAAGTGCCAAGTTTCCTTGTATTCCGATGGAATGTGACCCGCCCAGTGCTCCAAGAACATGCACGCGAACACTCCACAGTCATGGTTTCCTTCTTGTTGAGGAACATCCGCAATTAAGATGTCCCAATGATGCAAGGGAAAATCGAGGTTGTGCTTTGCAAGGAAAGCAACCCCATACTCAAATATCAATTTCCCCATGGGAGAGTGATCCACCTTGGCCACTGCTGGCTTGGGTTTCTGGCTGTCCAGAAGGAAAGTCTTCTGACTCCTTAGATCAGCAGCGTAGACCCGGTAGTGTTTGTCGTTATGCACAGGGAAAAAAAGCTGAAACATAGAAAAAAATCATTTATTCTCTCGGATAAATATCCAATAAACCCAGACTAGTATCCAAAACTAACATTTCATGTATTCTCAGACAAATCTTCAAACAAATCATTTATTCTCTCGGAAAAATATCCAATAAACCCAGACTAGTATCCAAAACTAACATTTCATATATTCTCAGGCAAATCTTCAAACAAATCATTTATTCTCTCGGACAAATATCCAATAAACCCAGACTAGTATCCAAAACTAACATTTCATATATTTTCAGGCAAATCTTCAAACAAATCATTTATTCTCTCGGAAAAATATCCAATAAACCCAGACTAGTATCCAAAACTAACATTTCATATATTCTCAGGCAAATCTTCAAACAAATCATTTATTCTCTCGGACAAATATCCAATAAACCCAGACTAGTATCCAAAACTAACATTTCATATATTTTCAGGCAAATCTTCAAACAAATCATTTATTCTCTCGGATAAATATCCAATAAACCCAGACTAGTATCCACAACCACGTAAATCAGTATCGAGATAGAATAAGGATTCACTTACATATTCTACTTTGTCCCATGCAACTTGTTTGAAGACTTGATACCGCTCGGTCAGTTCAATGACCCCATTGAGTCTCTCCTTGGACGGGGGCACATTCTTCTAGGGATTAAGTAAGGCAAGATTCTGTTTGCAAAGTAAAATAATAGCTAATTAGTTACTGAATATCTAAAAATTGTAAGGTGTCAGTGAAGAGCCTACTTACACCAAAAGTGAACGGAAAGATAACTCTGCTCTTGTCACCGGCAAGTGCTTTGTCGTTCAAGAAATGCCCATAAGCCTTAATCACAAGTAGATTGACCCACTCTAATCGCTTCAATGTCAACAGATGAATACGGGCGAGTTTAATTGAAGGAGTGTGCACCACCAAGCCCTTACCCTCAGGGGTACTGAAGACGTACTCAACCATAAGACGAGCAACTGGGTCGAGCTTTGGCGACACATCCTCTGACAAATAATATACTGATGAGGAAGCATATGGGTTCTTCTTCGACCTCTCGAACTCTGGGGTCTTTAGTGTTGCAAGCCATTCCTCAGGTGTGTAGCTGTACAGACGGTCTCTCTCCTCATCAGTCATATTCCTCTCATCGGTGATAATCACATCTGGACTCCTCTCATCGCTCCTAGAAGCCGCTTCTACCAACTCCTCGTCTGTAGGCAACATTCCCACCTCTGCAAGTTGAGAGAACGACTCCACCACCTCTGTAGGTGGGTCAACTTCCTCGGCATTAGCAGCGCTAGTAGCCTCATGAGCTATCTGCAAAATGTCCTCAAAAGAGGTATCTGAGAATGTATAGTGTATCACCATAGGGACTGTCGGCTCAAACAACTCCTCGTCCGGTGTCTCTACAGTCTTCTCAGCTTCATTCTCCACCACCTCAAATCGATTCTTCTCTTGAGGATCTTCTTCACATTTCTCTCCAGTTGTCTCCACTTGTGGCTCGACCTGGTCCTTCTCTAGAGGCTGCTCATCCATTTCCATTTTAGCTTCAGTATTCTCCACTCGGTCTTCCACCACATCTGTTTTAAGCTGCTCTAGCACCTCTTCAACAGTATTCTCCAAAGGTCTCCTCCTGGAATCCACGACCTTGAACCTGTCATGCTCTTCCTTCTTTTCTATCATATGTCCCAGTTTTGTTGCAAAGTCCAGCAATTTTCCCATATGTCGGTCAATCCCAGCACCTAGTACCTTGAGCTGGAAGACAAACGAACATTTTGCGGGAATTAAAAACTATATCCAAACTGCTCGTACAATCATCCCATGTACCCAGACTATTATCAGAATAGAGCGTACAAATATTCAAGTTGGCAGAATTGATATCCAAAAATAACAAACATTGATTCCACAGAAATATCCAAATGCATCAAATTAATATCCAAACATCACAAACCATTATTCATAACTGAAAAGAACAACAAATATTCAAACATTATTCAAACATCACAAACCATTATTCAAACATCACAAGCTGATATCCAAATGAAACCAACAAATATTCCAGAACAAAAAACTAAATCCGACTAATATCCTAAGCCATTCCAACATGGCATCAAATTCGTGGAAAACAGTACAACCCCCCACCATACAACGGAAAACAGTACAACATGGCATCATATTCACTCTTGCTCTTCCAAATTCTGGACAATCGTTTGGACCTTGTCCCTTCGAGCCACCCACTTTTCAATCATGCTCTCAATGATTTCCTTCAATCCCTTAAGCTACACATATGTTGTCAAATATTTAGGTTACTTTATAGTCCAAGTCTACCAATGCTCGATCTTAGTTAGAGAGGAAGAAAACATTTTACCTGCCCTAGCGAAAGCCTAGTCAAATCTTCAGTCTCCCACCATTCCGCGGTGGGCAACGGTGCACGATCTGGAGGAGGAGCTGAACTGCTCGCAGCTGCTGCACTAGCTGACGGCTGGAGCTGCCTGCGAGAGGCGATTTCTTCCCTACTCAACAGAGCGGCAGCTAGGTCATATCTTCCCCTGACTAAGGGGATAGATGTGCCTGCCCTCTCGACAGTTTGCTTCCACCAAAACCGGCAGCTAGGGATGGTCTTTGTGTGCAACCCGCCTAGTTTTAGAGAGTCCAACAGATGGAGCTGTAAAAAAAATTACAATTAATAAATGTTATGTTCCATTTCTAGCAATTTAATCAACAAATATCTAGAGTCAACACAAACAGAATCTTATGTGACTAAACTGATATCCAGAAATCATTTTAAGCTAGTTTTCATGCAAACAGTATCTTATGTGACTAAACAAATATCCAGCAGATCATACCCAAATACGAAATTCACTAGTTTTCATGCAATTGAACCAACAAGTATAGAAAAGGTTAGGACTTACTGTCAAGAAGTAGCAATCTCCGAGAACCCACACGCACGGCGAGCCCAACGCCCTTGCACTCTGTTCTTTTCTCTTGGCAACAGTCAACTCTACTTTCAGTTCACGGACAATAAATGTACACCAATCGTACACCCTCACGTCCTCAACACTCCCGCCTAGGTATGGGGCGAAGTCCAGCTTGCACCTCCGAGAAAATGTCGGCACGAGCATCGAACCAGTAGCTAGCAGCAAGAATTGCTTGACAGCAATTGCAACAGGTGGTCTAGGACCGTTGACTGGAATGGCCAACTCCCGCATCTGCTTGATAGGAACCATGCGAGCCCTGTTCGGAATCATGCCAACTTCCTCGCTGAAGCTGTCAAGCATCCCCCCCTCCACGTTCTTCAAATCAATCACAAACCCACCGAGAGGAAGGTCGTAGACACGTGCCACATCCTCAGCTGTGAAGTCGAAAACCTTCTTCGAGTCTCCTTCCCCAAAAACAAAAGTACTGGATGAGGAGTCATATGCAGCCATCAAGTCGTCCATGAAGACATTGGGTATCTTCGGCATGCGAAGCTCCAATAGGCCCCCGAATCCTGCCTTCTCGACTTCTTTCTTGCAGGCTGCATAGTATTCAGCATCTTCTTTCCAGTAGTTTATAATTTTGAAGAGGAAATAGGTGGACCCACGAAATCTGAAATATGAGCCGCAGGGACCCTCTCCCTCGTCATCTTCTTCCTCATCTTCCTCCTCAACTTCTGGAATAGCAGGCTGCCTTGCTTTTTCTCCTTGATGAGATCTCGATGCAACCATTTTCGTCCTCTTCATCCCGGGTTGTTCCTGAAACACAGTTATATATTAAGTAAAATATCCATAATCCTTGGACAAATAACTAAAACGTACACTTATATACAATACAATTATCGTAGTAAAGCAAAAGTGTATCCAAACGGAGATAACTGATATCCATGAAAAAAATATCCATAATACCCAGAAAAATAACTAAAACGAACATTTAAGTATCCACATTAACCGAAATGATAGCCACACATCAGACACATCAGTTTATTTTTTTTGCAAATACATACAATTATTATCGTAGTAAAGCAAAAGTGTATCCAAACGGAGATAACTGATATCCATGAAAAAAATATCCATAATACCCAGAAAAATAACTAAAACGAACATTTAAGTATCCACATTAACCGAAATGATAGCCACACATCAGACACATCAGTTTATTTTTTTTGCAAATACATACAATTATTATCGTAGTAAAGCAAAAGTGTATCCAAACGGAGATAACTGATATCCATGAAAAAAATATCCATAATACCCAGAAAAATAACTAAAACGAACATTTAAGTATCCACATTAACCGAAATGATAGCCACACATCAGACACGTCAGTTTATTTTTTTTGCAAATACATATAATTATTATCGTAGTAAAGCAAAAGTGTATCCAAACGGAGATAACTGATATCCATGAAAAAATATCCATACTACCCAGGAAAAAAACTAAAACGAACAGTTAAGTATCCAACTTAACAGAACTGATATCCACACATCAGACACATTAGATTATTTTTTAGCCAATACATACAATTATTATCGTAGTAAAGCAAAAGTGTATCCAAACAGAGATAACTGATATCCATGAAAAAAATATCCATAATATCCAGAAAAATAACTAAAACGAACAGTTAAGCATCCAACTTAACAGAACTGATATCCACACATCAGACACATTAGATTATTTTTTTAGCCAATACATACATTTATTATCGTAGTAAAGCAAAAGTGTATCCAAACGGAGATAACTGATATCCATGAAAAAATATCCGTAATACCCAGAAAAATAACTAAAACGAACAGTTAAGTATCCACATTAACAGAACTGATATCCACACATCAGACACATCAGTTTATTTTTTTTAGCCAATATAACTAATCGAGAAACGAAGTGAGAAATCAAACCTTTGGCGGTGGTTCATCCGGCGGCTGCTGTGATGATCCAGCTGCTTCACGAGATTTCGCTGAAGATTTTGGTGCAACAGCTTTGTGTTTCTTCCTCACGGGTTGTTCCTGAAACATAGTTAGATATTAAGAAAACTATCGGTCAATGAAAATATTAAAAAGCATCCGACTAGTAATTTTTAGCCAACATAACCAATCGAGAAACGGAGTAAGAAATGAAACCTCTTGTTGTTGTACATCAGGTGGCTGCTTTGATGATCCTTCTCCCTCATTGTTGGGCTTTGAGTTCTTTTTCGTTCTCCCCATTCACTGAAACAATAAACAAAATGACCACAATAAGTATCACAATTGACAAAAATGATATCCATATAATCTTTAACCAAGGAATCGACAAATGATACCCAGATTGAACAAAATCGTATCCAACAAACCCCCAAAATGGAATTCGAGAAACCATAATGAAACAATATATAAAATGACCAGAATAAGTATCACAATTGACAAAACTGATATCCATATAATCTTTAACCAAGGAATCGACAAATGATACCCAGATTCAACAAAATCGTATCCATGTAACATTTAATCAAGGAATCAACAAACAATACCTAGATTCCCCAAAATCGTATCCAACAAACCCCCAAAATGGAATTCGAGAAACAATAAATCTGGTAACTAGAAAAAAAAACCAGAGCCCCAAAATTCGAATCCCACAGACCCAGAATCTGGGAATCTACAAACAAAACCCTAAACACCCATATTCGAATCCATGAAACCCTAAATCTAGAAATCGAAAAACGAATCCCTAAACCCCCAAAACGAAACCCTAAACCTCAAATTCGAATCCCACGGACACAATATCTTGAAATCTAGAATCAAAACCCTAAACACCCTAAATCGAATTGCATGAACCATAAATTTTCAAATCCATAAACAAAACACAGATTTCCACACAAAAAATTCATGAAACCGAAACCCTAACATAAATTTTCAAATCCACAAACAAAATGAACAATAAAGAGAGAAGTAGAACTACCTCAGCGTCTTCTTCTATCTCCAACTATCGGCGGCGACGGCGGTGGAGTTCTTCGTCGGCGAAGTCGGCGGCGTCTTCTTCTTTCTTCTTCGTCGGCGGCGTCTTCTTCCTCGTCGGTCGGGATAGCTTCAAGGGCCACGTCGGGGGTATATCCAGCAAGCGGTCGCCGACCTCGCAGCCGTTGTCGCCGTCGCCGCCGCCGAAGATCGTCGCTGTTGGTGGTGGTTTTCGGGAGAAAAGAAAAAGAGAGGGAGAGAGTTCGAAAGTTGGAGAGAGAGGGGAGAATGCCTGACCGCGGGTTGAGGTTGGGTTTTGGGCTGGTTTGAAATTTTGGGTTTTTGTTTTTTTTTTATTTCTGTCCCCACTTTTGGGAAAAATGGCTCGGCTTGGCTTGGCCCTCTCCCCCCTCACAGAACAGCGCCGGCGACCCAGAACCCTCAGATGGTGGCTCGGCGACGTGGCCCCTCATCCCACCGTGTTAGTATATGCTAACCACTAACACGGTTAGCAGAATAACGCTATTGCTCTAAAATAACCCTCAACCTTCCTATTGTTGCTACTTCGACAAGCCTCGCAATATCCGATGAGATCCAGTGGACAAGGGATTTTGGCATCAGCATCCCCTTCCCCAGCTTTGCTCTCACCTTCTTCTTCTAACGCTTCAGTTAAGAAGAAGATGATGCGTACTCGAACTTTTTCCCTTCGTTCTCGTCTTGATTTCAATTGTTTCAATGATGCTCACAGAGTTGCTTTCGTTGTTGTTGTTTGAAGGCAAATGACCATAAGCAGAAGCCGAAAGAGAATTTTGGCCTCCATCACCGCCTCCGTCATCATCATCGATTCCCTTATTTAGCAGAATTCGCCATCGCTGAAAGCTAGGATTTCTTTGTCGATTTGACAGTCACGAACCGAGAAGAAAGACGAACGCAGAAGACATGCAGCGGAATGATCAGAAGTGGATCGAAGCAGGTCTCAGTCATTGAAATCGATCGGAGAAGAAGACGCGTCCGGTGATTGAACTCCCAGAGCAAGAAGCGTTCGGCGAAGATCGAAAGATGCAGAAGCAAGAAAAATTGAGATCGGGGCAGGAAGGAAAGCGAATCAAGATGGTTGGCACTTCCTGGAAACTCGAAAATAGAAGAGAAACGAAGAAAAAATGACGAAAATTGATCAAGAACTGGAAGATTTCCGCTCTGCGGGTTTGTTTGGGGGGAAGAGGAAATATAGAAGGAAGATGGGCGGTGGGGTGGTAACGAAAGGGAGGAGGGTGCTTCAGAAATTTGTATGTTATTTTATTCTATATTTTATTTATTTTTAAAATAAAATATGATGTGGCATATACATGGTAAATGTGGTTGAGCTGTCGTTGACGTGCGATGATTTAGCATCCTAGTCAGCCTAACATTAACCTAACTGATGGAGTTTCTAACACCGTTAAAGTTTCTAACGGAAATGGCTAGATTTGTCACACTACCATCCAATTTTTGGGTTATTTTGTGTTTTCGGATAATTATGGTTATATTTGTCACAAACGTGAAAGTTATGGCTATACGAGTGTATTTTGCCTAAAATTTAATAATGCATTTCAAATACCTGCACAACCAATTCAAATGTCTTGTTTGCTTCAAGGTTTTCATCGTGGATTCAGTACATAAAATATAATCTTCATCGACAGTGCACATAGTTCATCGTTTTCTTGATGAAGTTAGGAGAGATAAATTAGTGGATCAACGAACCTGAAAATTTCATTTCCAAAAGGTGGGATTTGTGTTAGGGTCTCAAGTACTTGATACCTCTTTACTTTTTCATCCCTACTTATGGAATTGGAATTGGTGTATAGCGAAAATTGTAATAAGGACAAAAATTGTAACATCCCGAACTTTGAAGGAAGAACAAATCATTCATGTATAACAAAGAATTGCAGGGATCATAAAAGAAAACTCAATTCAGCCATGTTGATGTAGATGAGTATACGGGTAAAAAATTTCAATAACGGGCGTGTATTGTACGATTTGAAACTGTAAAAAAATCTGAAAGTCATTCTACCGAGATAGGATCCATGAAACCACTTGGAAGCTCCTCACAAGGAGAATAAAATGAAGGGTAAT